ACATCTTCAATTTCCATTTCGATATCTTCATTATCTAAATCTCTTCCATATTTTTTACCACTTCTTAAAGTTGGAAATATTTATTTTTCATACTTATATGTTTCGTAATTATTATAATAATTACCATTATCATAATTTCTATTATTGTCGTAATATCTTTCATGATCCATTAAATTTATATTTCTATTATTACTATTATTTCTTCTTTCATTATTATTCCTATTAAAATTATTTTGTGTTCTATAATTATTCTTTCGTCCTAATTGTGGACATTCTGGTCTTATATGACCTTCTTCATTGCATTCATAGCATCTCATAATTCTTGTATTTCTTGTATTTGTATTTCTATTTATATTTCTTCTTTGTTGATTTTTTATTTCATTTAACATTTCTCCCATAGCTATTTTTTCTGCTCTAAATTGTTCTAAAGCTTTACTTAATTCATCAATATCTTTTTCATTAACTGGCTTTTGCATTTTTTTATATATTTCATTTTCTTCTCTTTTATTCGTTTCTTCTTTTAAAATTTCTTCTATATTCTTTTCTTGTCTTATTTGTCCTATACTTACACCTGTTGTTTTCAATATCAATTCGTTCTTAGCTTCTTCTTCTCTTCTTGCCATATTAATTGCATCATTTAAATTTCCTGGGTTCTGTCTTCTAACTTGGTACCCTACTGTTGCTTCTAGTCCTTCAATATAAAAATCTACTTGATATTCGTCAGCTAATGCCTGACCTCTTGTCGCTACTCTTAATACTTGTCTAAATCTTCTCGTATAATCTTCAACAATTTCATTTATTCCTTGTTTAGTTTTTCTCAATTCTAACATTTTTCTTCTTCTAACATCTTCTCTGGTAAATCTTCTTTTAATTCTATGTTTCAAATCATTATCATCATCTGCATCTGCCCAATTCCTTAAATGACTTGCATTCGTTTCTTTCATTTCATTATACCATTGTGCTGCTGCTCCCCTTAAATGTGCTGCTGTATATGCCGCTTGTCTTTCGCTATTAGTTCCTGCTGCTTTCCCAATTGCCGTAAATGCTACTTCGAATTGTCTAATCCAATCACTAACATCTTCTTCTTCTTTTCCATAAAATAATGGTATATTAATTATTCCTCCAGCTTCATTTCCTGCATTTTCAATCCTATCTACTAAGTGTGCTCCTGCCCCTATTAATCCATCCAAAGTATTAGGTGGGTATCCTAAAGCATTCTCAATTATTCTTTTCATTTGATCTTCAGTTGCCATATTCAACAATATATTCTCTTGAAATAAATCTTGTAAGTTGTAATCAGATAGTTCACTTTCTGTATCAGAATTTTCAATATCAGAATCCTTAATATTCAACGAATTATTCGAATCTGAATTTTGACTTAAGCTAAAACTTTCTGTATTTATAATATTTTCATCATTATTTTTGACTTCATTTTCATTGAAATCTTCAGAATTTCCTTCCCAAATCTCATATTCTTCTGGATCTAATATTTCTCCAATCTTTTCTGAATCATCTGTATTATTATTTTCTTCTTCAATTTCTTCTTCACTTTCTTCAATTTCAAATTTCTTTAAATATTCATCTAATATTCTCCTTATTTCTTTTTCTGATTCATTTTTATATTCTTGAAATTTTCTTATAAAGTCTGCACTTAATATATCAACATCTCTATATCTCATACTTATTAATCTTAATAATTCTCCATCAGAAACTTCAATTTCTAAAACTTTGATTAAATTTTTTAACCGTTCTAATCTTTTCTCTATTTCTGTTTCATCATCAAATTTATTCTCATCTTAAAAATTTTCTGGTCCTTTTTCATAACAACTTTTACATATCTTTTCTATAAATTCTTTATTGTATTCTACCGCTTCTATTGCTTCTTTCTTTAATATTATTTTATTACACGTTGGACATTCTATTGTATACATATAATGCCATATTCTTAATTCTTCTTCTATTCCTTTGTCATCTAATTCTTCAATAGTTTTATAAAAACTCATAAATTCTTTAGTTTTTATTATTTCATATTCTACTCTAAAATTTATTATTCGTTTTATTTCTTCAATATCAATTTCGTAACCATTCTCTAACCAATAATTTCTGTATATTCTTTCTATATGTTTGTCTCCTTCATTTGAACTTGATTCTCCTAAATTATCTGAACTTTCTAGTTCTCCTACGTCACTTTGTTCTTCAGCAAAACCTTTTGTTTCTACAATTTTCTCTATTATCTTATCTGTTACATCATCATTTATCCATGGTTTTGGATATTTATTTCTATCCCACCATTGATATGTTATACTTTTCTGAAACTTCTTGACTTTCTCTCTATTTTCTTCTTCTGCTATATTTTCTTCTAAATGTAATATTTCTTTAAAATTTCTCATAGTACCATATCCTTTATTCTTAATAGTTACTGATTCTATTTCTTCTAACCATTCTTCAAATTTTGCAAATCTTATATCTAATTCATCATCTTCTATAATATATCTATACATCAACAATTCTTTATTCCCTAACAAATTCTCTTCTGTTTGATCATCTAATATGAACTCATTATCTTCACTAAGTATATAATGTTCACATATCACTTTTATTACCGATATAATTCCTATTTTTCTATAATCTGATTTATTTCTATACCTAATTGACCTTACGACTATATCTAACAATTTTTCTCCTTCTTTTCTTATTTTCTCAAATTCTTTATTTCTTTTCTTTTTACTAGATGGATAACTTTCTTCTCCATCTTTTCTTGTTAGTATTATGTACTCCATTAATTTTACATATGTATTTCTATTATAACTCATTGCTTCTAATATTACTTTTTGAAAAATCTTCCAAAATCTTTTAAACCAATCTCCTATCTCTATTTCATCAGTACTATAACATTTTAGACATGAAGGATCTACTTGATACTCTTCTCTTAACTCATTATGTTTTTCTATTTCATGTCTTCTTTTAATCACTTCTAATTCGTCATATATATCGGACATTTTTATTTATTTAAACATTTCATAATTTCACTTTTATTTATATTTTATCATTAACTTAACATCATTTAAATTACTATTTTATCTTTTACTTCTTTAAAATACAATTTAAATTCTAATATTTTCAAAGTTCCAGCTTTGATTCTATAATTTCTCTATACATTCTATAATATAATCTATAATCGCGATTTTATTTATAAACTTTCTATATCTTGCGCAAATAACTGTGATCAAGGCTAGGGATTATTTATAACTGGGGCCACCCAGTATCAGACTAATATGATCACCAACAAAGGCTTATTTATACTGGGTCCTTCCAGTGTACTCTTATTTATACTGGGGTTCTCCCAGTTCTATACACAAAATTAAACTTTTTAATAACTTTTAATCTTTTTCTTATATTAACTTCCAAAATATTTATTCAAATTTATTTCATATTATTTTATTTCTCGCATTTCATTTTATAATTCATTAATATTTTCTTATTATAATTGGATAGCCACGGATTTTTAAGCGATCAATGTACTAAAATTTCTGTTGATATAACGCCCCTGGTGACACAACTATTTCTTTACTATTCTCTTATTTATTTATTATTATCATCTTATAAAATTTTGAGAAAAAATATTCTAAGTCCACAATCTCCTCAGACTGGGGAGGTCTATATATTTTACTGCGCCTCATCACGTGACTTATACTTTCTCTTATTTTCTTCTATTTACTGCGCTTCATCACATGGTTTACATTACTCACGTGATTTGTACAACATTTTATTTTTCTACTGCGTTTTAATCACATAATTTTTACTGCGCTTTTAACACATGACTTGTCGCAGTATAATTCTCATTTTATTTATTCATTTCTGTAACTGAACTCATGTTCTCTCTTTCTGATTAAATATTTTATCACATTCTATATTGTTTACGCAACATGCTTATACAATTTCTTTTTATTTTTATATTACATCATTATTACATCATTTATTTCATATAATTCATTATTATCTTTTACAATCTTTTATATCATTCTTTTATTATAATAAAATTATTTCTCATATATCAAATAATAACATTTCAATATTTCTCGTATTTACAATATCCTTTAATTTTCTCTTTCATTTAGTAACCTGTACTGGGCTTGCCTTTACCTTCTTCATAGAAGTATAGTAGTTTACGGGTTTGTTACTAATAACTTTTCTTTTTCTCATAATACTTTTGAATTTTCAATCATTTATTAATTTCTTATTATTCACAAAATTCATTCTCATTATAAATTTTATTCTCATTCAATTTTTAAATCTTTTCATTATTATCTTAAATATTTCATTCATCTTTTCGATATATACTTTTTCAATATATCATATATTTTCATTTCTCATATATTCCGTAATATTCCTTTTTCATAATATTACTTTTACTATATCTTTTTTCATATATAGTAACATTTTTCTCATATTTCAGATAAGTCTTCCTTATCTTATATTTCTTTGATGATTTCTCATATCATCCTTCCTTTTCTCATATTTCTTTGATGATTTCTCATATCATCCTTTTCTTATTAATTTCACAAATTTTTCTTTAATTTTCTCATATACTTTTCTTTTATTTTCATTTAAATCTTGTATGAAGACAACAATCTTTTATTTTCTCGGAGCATGCACCAAAAATGTGACACGCCGCCCATAGGNATGTTGCCACCGACGTGTTGAGTTTGAACAATATCTATGCTTGGTTTAAAATAAAAATTAGTTACAAAACATTAATAAACCATTAATTAAAAAAAAAAATAATTAATGTGGCACTTTTTACTCATAAGAAAAAGGCTAAAAGAATGTGTTAGATTATTATTAAGGACGAACTAAAATTTTTATTTTCCAAAAATTGAACTGTGGAATTTCTTATCGAAATCCACTTGTATTTATACATTTTTAAGAAAAATATTTCTAATATTTCTAATATTTCTAATAAAATTTGAAGATCTATTATCATATGACTATCTCGTTATACTAAACTAAACTATAAATATAATTTTATTGGCTAATTATTTATCCTTCAGCTAATTATTTATCCTTATTTTATTTCATAATATTTTCGGTTATTACAACGTGTAGTTCCAAGTCTTAGTTTCTTGGATTTGCCAAAACTGAAACCTAACTTTAATTCTTTTCATTTCCTCCACAATTATTTTTCGTGTAGTATCATTAAATAAACCATATTCCATTAGTTCTGCTATCACAAGACTCCATAAATGATCAGTAATTCGAAGCATAATATGCAACTCATCAGGAACCCAATGATTAAGAGGTATCATATCAAAAAGTGAGTTTCTTATATGTCCTTTATAATAATTACTCTTTTCAACTAATTTTTCCATTTCTTTACTAATCTTCCATTCTTTTGATAGATCTCCTTGTTGTGATTTATCGATTGTACACCAAGGACAGAAATTTTTACTATGCGCACTGTTAAAACCTAAGCAAATTGCTAAGAATTTCCAATCAGATGAAAAATAAAATTGAAAATTCCATTTCACATTATTAATTACCAGTCCTTCTTTTAAATTTCTTAAATTACGACAGAATTGGGTCATTGCATTTGATAGAGACTCATAATCTTCACATCCAGGATAGAGTATAGTCGTATAATGATGATCTGGTTTGTATAATGTACTTTTATCATCTAAAATAGCTATCGTGATAACCACATGTTTTACTTTTCTTCCTACATTTCTTCCATCTCCAGAGATTCGAAGATTAATTATGGGCTGATTTGGATTCAAAATACCTTTTTGAACAAGGTTAGGAACTAAATAATGCAATATATTATTAATATTTCTATACCCACCTTTACCAACTGCATCAATTACTTCTTGTGTTATAGATTCATCATCTATATCTATTCTTTCAGATTCATCTACTTGACTTCTAGTGTTAATATCTACTATCGTTATTGGTATGAGTCGAGCCATTGTTTCATTTATATTTATACGTTCTTTGGATATTTCTCCTTCACGTGGTAAGTGATGTTCTATGGCACATAGACGCCTATAAGAATCTTTTGGAATATTGCCATCATCTAATGCTCTGGCTATTGACTCAAGTTTTTGTTTTTTCTTAATTTTATCATCATTTTCATAATTGATAGTAAAAGTATGTTTTTTATTAACAGAATAACATATACTTTCTAATACTGGTACATCTTTCAAATTATATAGTTGTTTTGTTTTTTCATTGAATTCAGCTAATATATATTTTCCAATACTTGTAGCCCGTTTTGTAAAAGTAGAATTTCCACATTGGTCAATTGGTTTTAATATATGTGCGCGTCATTTGCTTTCCCTTGACGTGTCTAATATTTTGAGATGAAGACCAAACAAATAAATTCCTGATGTTTTTGTTTTTTTTTGAGAGGTACACTCCTAAAATAAATTAAATTAGTTTTTAATAAATAGAAAAAATAGAAAAACTAAAAAAAAATAGTTTAATGTACAAACTTTATGAAATAGATTTGTAACATCTGTAGCACTTTTAACTGAAGATACTACATGTTCAAAGCACTTTCCAAACCAAATTTGAAAAACTGGTTTATCATCAACGTAATTAATAAAACATTGAACAGTACATCAATTGTTGCTTCTGCCCCATGTTGTTTCTACTATATAATTATCAGGAATCTGATAACTATTGGGAGGAAGAGTGTACGCTAACGAAGATTTATTAGGATATATTCCTTCTTTTATGATTTTATATGAAAAGCTATGTCCTGATTTTTTAAAATTAATAATTGGATCAAAGGGGTAATTATGAATTTCTTGTACGTCAGACATTTGCAAATTAGAAATTAAGAATAAAATTTAAACTGTGTTGTTATTATTTTACACAGTTTCGTGAAATTTTTTGCAAAAAAAAAATTGTGTTACAGTTGCAAATTAATCATCTGATTGAGATCATCACCAATTAAAACATTTTATGCAGTGTTACCGTATGTCAATTTAGTATGATTGTCATTTAGGGTACGTCCTAAAAAATTGGGGTTAGAGTTAAGATCCGCTCATATGATCACTTGACTAAATAATAAGTTGAACAAAAATTTACATTTGCGAAACTTAAATTATTAAATGTAAAAGAGGTGTGAAAAACCCCATTTCACTAATAAAAAACCCATTTCTCATATATATGGAATTTTTAACATATATTAATAAAAAGTAAGTATATTTTAATAAAATATAAAGTAAAATAAAAATTTATATAGTCTTAGTAGTTATAAATGTTTATAAAAGTATAATAAAAATATCATATAAAAGATGGTATCATAATAGATATTTTCAAACAATAAAAATAATTATTTTATGTCAGAATTTGTATTACCATATTTAGACGCAAATATATCAAGATTCACTGATCCGTTTTCTATAATTTTAGGCTCGTTGGAAAGCCCTTGTTCTGGACTTTATAGGCGAAAAAAGAGCTCGCCGATTGAATCATTAGATCCAGAGATATTTACGTTTAAAGTTGAGGTACGGACTTTTTAACATGCTTAAATGCAAATATCTTGGGATCCACTGATCCGCTTTTTATAAATTTAGGCTCTTTGGAAAGCCCTTGATCTGGTCTATATAAGCGAAAATAAAACTTGCCGATTGGATCATTAGATCTGGAGATATTTACGTTTAAAGTTGAGATACAAATTATAGTAAGTGCTAAGAATTATATTAATTTAAAAGAAATATTTACCAACTTATAGTATAATAACATTAAATAAAAGTTTTTTAATACTCACCCCAATTTACTGTATATTATATAGTATTTTGTATAATAAAAATGTAATAAAATCAATATTTTAATTAAAGGTAAACAAATCAGCCCATATGGTGTAAAATTTTCTTAATAAATGGTTAAAATAACAAGAATTTCATACAATTAAGAATTATATAACTTGTAAAGCTAGTATTGTTTGTCAAAGAACATTTATTTGTACTTACAACCACATTTATGAATCACATTCCATTAAAGATATTGCTATAAAAAAGTTAAACTATTCATTTTTCATTAATATTTCTTATCCAAAAAGCAGGAATTTAAATGGTTTTGTATTTATTAATAAAATTAATGAGCATCATAATCATTTGTTAAATCAAGTAATGATTAAATTTGAGGGTAGGAAAGATTTACTTTATAAGTAAAGATAGGTCCTCAATTGATTTCCAAACCCCACAATATTGCAGATTTTAGAAATCAATTGTACTTAATAATCTGTAAATCTGCAAATAATTCACAAACATATCTGCTGATATATGGATTTTGACAACAAAATTTGACCCCAAAAATGGTCGATCAGTATCACAAAAACACCTGATTTATGATGTCACTAATTGTTGTGTAAACCTCAAATGACATCTAAAATCAACAAAACTAAAAGCAAAACCCATCTGTTTTTTCAGGTAAGAAATACGCATTACTGGAAATAAAATAATATTCCACTATTTATTCAGTTTTAATTTTTTTATTTTAGGTTCTAAAACAATGTGAATTATAGCAATATATGCCTTCAGCAACGCTTCCTCAATTTAATAACTCCACCTGCTTCACCTGCAAAAAAGAATTCAAGAACTCAAAGGGTTTAGCATGACATTAACAAAATGTACAAAAATATAATAAACATCACCAAGAACTTGATGAACCACCAGTTAATACTGTTGTTGAATTTAAATTTTAGTTGCTAAAATACACAAAAAGCTACCTTTAAACTTTAGGTCTATGGGAAAGAAATTATTTTCTATACCATGTCCTGAAAGCATTTTTTTTTCTATTTTTGCTGGTAATATCCATTATTATTCCAAGGCAAGGGGAATTTATAGATGTATATTTTGAGGTTATAATGTGTATCAAGTTTTAAGTAAAATTTTAAATTCTGATCAGTGAGGGAAAAGAATTTATTCACAATGTCAACAAACATATGCCCTATGAAAAAAAAAATTCTTTAAAATATACTTAAAATGTACTTATATATTTTAAAATATATCTAAAATGTACTTAAAATTTTTAAATGTACTTAAAATATACTTAAAATTGCAATTTTAAGTATATCATATGGGCCGATCCTTGGAATCTAATTTTTTTACACAAAAATAATTTTATTAAAGCAAATATAAATTATCATTTATATAAGAATAATAAATTTATACTAGATAATGCAAAAAAAACTAATTAATTATATAATTTTTAATTTTTTTTTAATATAAGATATCATTAAAATTTAAAAGATCAAATATAACTCTCATGACAAAATCATTGATAATTCTTCGTAGAAATAAGCTATACAAATAAATTTACATTCATTTGAAAGAGAAAATCGAGATC